TTTACTTTAGATCATATTATTTCAGACAAGATTTAACATTATCAAGTCTACAATTGAGGTGTTAATAAAATTTATGAAATTGGTTTTGACAGAAATCAGAGATAATAAATTTAGAAATTTTCCAAATTCAATATACTTAATAAAAAAAGCATTTAGATTAAATGACTGATTTCACTATTTTGTTTCTTGTTCCAAATGTTATAAGCTGTATCAAAAGTAAAAAGTGGTGAATTTTTAACAGAATAATATACCGACTGTAATGAAATATCAGCATATAGAATTTTCAAATTCATCAATTTGCAAAACACAATTTTGTAATACTTTGTTATCTCAAAAAATCATATTGACAAATTGAACTTTAATTTGATCTAATTTAATTTTTATATTTTCTAGAATTTAATAACAACTCACTTCTATGCATCTTCAGCCTAATTTTGAAACTAGTCTAAGATAATAGACAAATTATCAGCATTTTGACAATATTATAACTGATATATATATGATAGACGTTAAAAGAATCTTCATAAGAAGATTCAGCAAATTTTTTTCAAAATGAAGTGACTGATTCTCATTTTGGATTAATGTTAAATCTAGACTAGTTTTAGCTATATGATGGTACTGTTTATAGCATTAGAGTAATATATGTCACTATATGCAATTTACCTCATGATATTTGATTTAAACGTGAAAATTTACTGACTCTTAGTCTTTTACCTGAACTAAGTGAAGTCAGTTTTTATAAATAAATTACTATTTAGCGCTGATTGTAAATGAATTAGAATCATATTAGAATAGATTTACAATAGATAAAACATATGAATATTCTGAAAGAAAGAATATTCATGCAGCTTTAATTCTTATTTTATATGATATACCAGCTGCTAAATAGTATGTGGATATATTTTAGCCTTAGTATCATATCATAGATGTGAAAAAAAGGTAAATTATAAAAATTGTCAGCATAATTTTGTCAGAATTGATAATATTGATGATTGGTTCATTATGTGAAATCCAATTGAGCATCATCAAAATACGTTAGAATGGAGATGCTGCAATTTGAATATTTTACGAAAATGATTTGTAAAGCAAAGTAGCGTAAAATAGTCTGAATTATTATGTTTGCCATATTTTGAACTTATAAAATATATCATAATTGATCTAATGTATTGCTCATTACACAATGGATAGTAAAACGAATTTGGATTAATAAAGAAATTTTGATATCAAATTCCTTGAATAAGATTCAAAAAAAGATAAACGAGTTTCAGATTCCTTCTGATTTAGGTCAAATTCTAGGTAACATTCATGAAGGAGAAGGATTTTCTAATTTTACGGCCGATCAGTGATGAATATTTTTTACTGTATATGCCACTGTTTCATTTTTAGAATATTTTCTGATTGTAGATAGAAAGATTCTTATACATTTCATAAGGATTTGTACAATTTTATTAAGCCATATTGTAGAATCAGATCTATTATATGAAGCATATCAAAGACTAATTAAGAGGTGAAGTTAATTGAAAATAATCATGATTGTAACAAAATCACGTTAAATCTTCACCTTTCTCTTCATTTGTATGATTGTTTAATAGATTATGATCTATTATATATATTTTGATATTTTTCTTTTGAATACATAAATGGAATATTAGGTATTTTTTTTAAGAATTTCTTGAATAAATCAGTTTAATAATTTATGAATAATTTTTAGATTCTTTACCAAATAGTAATAGAAAAGTCAAACTTGAATTAATATATTGATTGATATTTGATATTCAAATTAACTGTATTACAAGTTTTAGTAGTATTGAGGTAAAAGAGCTTGAATTGTTAGATAATCAGCCTTCAGTTAGTTCTCTTTCAGATATAGACAACTTTTCTTTTAACAAAATCTATCGATTTTGGATGAATTTACAAAATATTAAGGAATTAAATGTTATTGGTAGTGATCTATTTTCTGGTAAATTTCTTAAACCATTATCTGATAATATAATTATTTCAAGTAAAATACTTAATTTGATAGTTAAATACTATAATACGACTTATATCACATTTGATTATAAAAAGCTATTTGATAAGGATTTAAAAGATGATATAATAATTCAGGTCAAAATGAATCAATTTGAAGGTGCTGAATTAGTTCTGAAATCTTTAGATTGTTAATATCTTTGCGACATGTAAAAATTTGTACATTTTAGTTAAATTTATTATAAGTGATGATACAGTTGATTGTTATTCTAATCAAGTCTAATATTATTTTACACATTAGTTCAATTTACCATCTAGACAGGTCAAACATTTTCTAGCATATATTCATTGGTATAAATCTGCAAATTTTCCAAATATGCAGTATTATTTTAATAAAAAAGAAACATATAATATTGAATTATAGAATACTGAATTTTATCTGAAAAGTCATAATTGTATAATACTAATTCATCATATTTTAGGTCATTTGTACTGATTAACTATTGAATTTCAGCCTGAAGAAATGCAAAAAAATATTTGGCTGTTCATTCAATTAATAGAAAATACCATCTGTAAAAATAAATTGAATGTTTTTAGCATTATTAAGCTGTTAATCTTAAATATCAGTTATATTTCCTTCCAAATTTTATTTTATTTTAAAATATTTTAGTCAATTTTTGATATATATTAATCATATATAAATCAGACATTAATCAGCTATAAATAAAATAGATTGAATTTTAGCTGATTCTTGGTTGATTTCTAATATATACCAATTGACAATAAATATATCAATCAGCTATAAATAAGATAGATTAAATTTTAGTTGATTTCTAATGTATGGCAATCAGATGTAAATTGGCTATAAATAAAATAGGTTAAATTTTAGCTGATTTTTGACGTATACTAATTAGTAATTAGTATACCAATTAGCTATAAATAAGATAGATCAAATTTTAGCTAATTCTTAGCTGATTTCTAGTGTATGCTAATTGGCTAAACCAATTTTTTGATAATTTGCTGATTCTAGGCTGATTTTAGGCTGATTTTTGCATATCTGATTTTTTGATTTGACCAAAGATATAGATAGAATGTAAAAGAGATACAGGAAAAATAAAATCATTAGATTAAATATGATATTTAAATTATATTATTTAGATTATATGTGATACTTAGATTATATATATTATTCAGATTATATGTGATATTATAATTTAAGGTAAATAAAATATTACATATAATATAATTATATCATATGTAATATCTCACTTGTTTAACATATTAAATATAGTTAGTTAACTAAATACTTTCTTACTTTAAAATAGTTATTTTATTATTTTTATTTTAATTATATTCTATATATATTTTAATAAAAATATTTAAAATTTATCATAAAAACATTTTGATAATAGTTTATAATATAAATATAAATATTTTGTAATAGAAAAGAAACTTTAAAAATTTTTTTTTGAATTAATATTAAATCTGAACTTATTTTATTAAAAACATGTATTTAATTTATAAAGTAAAAAAATTTTTTATTTGATAGTTTTTTCTTTTTTTTATTATAAAATACTTATATAAGTATTAATTTATTATATAAACATTAAAAAGTAAATTCTTAAATATCATAATTTGTAAAGATTACATATTAATATTATTAAATATAAGTATAATTTTATTATTGATTATTTTTAAATAAATGGTTAAATATAAATAAAATTATTGTTAATATTTAATAAAATAATATCATAATAATGAAAATCTAAAAAAGTAAAAAATAAAGTTTTTTTTTTTTTAATATATATTTATTTTTTAAAAATAAATTATATTTATTAAAGTAATTAATAATATAATAGAAGTTTGAATATGTATATTATAAAATACAATCTTAAATTATTAGATTAAAACAAAATATTATCATTTATAAATTATATTTAAAAAAAGTTTTATCTGATTAAATTAATATAAAATTAGAAGCTATATTAAGGATATTAAAAACTTTGATAATAATATATTTGATATACTACATATTATTTAATAATATATAAAATAATTAAAGAAATTATTAATAGAAAGTTTTAATAATTATTAATATTAATTTTTAGAAACAATGATAGATAAATCTAATTGTATTATAAATAATTAATATTAAAGTACATTCTTAAAAGCATTATATTATAAAAATTTATATAATAAAAAAATTACAAATTATTTTACTAAAAATATATTAAAAATATTGAATTGTATTAAATATAAATATATGCTGATACTTATATAATGGTTATATTAGAACTTTATTTTACATATTATACCTTAATCAAGTTAAGTAATATAAAGAAAATAACCAAATATTTCAAGGTTGTCATTCTTTTCTCGAGATCTCTTATCGGATAGCTATAATTAGTAGAGCAAAGCATTCTATTGTTTGCTTCGATTTTTGCTAGTCGGGTTGTTCTATTAACGAAGTCTTCCGAAATGATTGAAATATCAAAGGCTTTCCTTAACAGTCGTTAATATTTGAAAGCCTAAAGTCGAAATGGTCGAAATAGTTTGTTACATGAATCAAAATTATTAATAAAATATTGGAAATAATATTTCATACGGGAACGGCAATGAGAGTTCCTGAGTGCAACAGACGAACTTTTTTGAGTCGCTGGACCAATCGCAAAATCTCAATTTGATTATAGCTTGGCTTGAGGATCAAATCAATTTCGAAGATTAATGTAAATATAATAATATTTTCTCGAGAAAAGAATTTCATCACCTGACAGAAATTCAAATTTTAGATATTATTATCAAAGTCCCAATACATATTCTAGTTTTATGATGTATAACAAAAAATTAAAAAATCTCTTACGCTAATAATTTCCAAAAAAAAACAAAAAAAAAACAAATATAAATACAAAACGAGAAATTATTTAAACAAATTATGATACATAAAGGTTTGTATATGTAATAAAGCGAATTATTCTGATAAATAAAGGAAAGAAAGTGTAAAAAATATATAATAACATTATTTACTTTTTTGACTAATAAGAAGGAATTCTATCATAAAAAAAGTTAAATATTTTTTTTTTCTAAAAGTCTTTCATATAGTTTTTATGATTTTTTTTTTTTTTTTTTAATAATAATAGTTTTTTTGTGATCCCTGTCGATTATAATTGTCTCCTCCAGCTGGATACTTTTGAACAAACTTTCCTCCATTATTATATTCTGCGGGTGTTATTTGACCTAAATTTTGATGATAAGTTTGATTATTCATCGCTCCTTGATTTTCGTAATTTGATGATGGTTCATAATAATAATGATTACTATAATAGCTATCTTCACCAAATATTGAAGAAACCGAAGATTTAGGACGAGCTTCACCACCTACTGAATGAGCCGATTTTGGTCTTCTATGATCGAAAACATAATCATCATTTTCATGCGTGTTCCAACCATTATGATTATCTGAATAATTGTATTGAAGGTTTTCCGGTTTCCTATTATAATCCTTATTACCATATGCATCAATAAACCTTGCGAGCTTATCAGCACTGCTTAGATTTATCTTTGATGGTTGTGATTTAGATACCTTTGACTTATTATTATTATCAGGATATAAGCCTGCTGGAATTAATGGTACAGGTGGAGCTAAGGTCGATTCATTTCTCATTAAATCTTCAGGGTCATTTAAATTTGGTAGCGAATTGGAACGATTCAAAAGTGATGAATGCTTCGGACTCCTAATTTCAAATACGGGCGATAAAGATGGTTTATATCGTGATGAATTTGATAATCTATTTGCAGCTTTAGACATCTTTTGTGAATTATCACTAGCATCTTTTGATTCATCAATTGGTACATTTTCAATTATTTGTGGTGGCGGTGCTTGCCGTTGATGAATTTG